GAATGTTGATCTTCTGAACAAACGCAGCAAGAGACATGGACAAGTAACGTGTGAATTGCACTCGACCATACGAGGCACCTGAAACAGAGTCAGTGGCATTGTTGCTGTCTCTTATGTGTGGTGAAGCACTTGTGCATCGTTCCCTGGGAGCAGCAGCAGCAGCAGCATCATGACCCCCAGACGGCGCGAAACATTCTGCACATGCCGTGAACCGGCACGTTTGCGAGCACTGATAATACACAGCTTGGGGCGGGATTTGCATATTGCATATCCTGCAACGGCGTCGTGTTCCTCGCTGGGCACTGCGACGCTGCACGCAAGCATGTTGATGGAGGTGCGTGGGGAAGACGTTGGTATCAGCAACATCGCGGTCGTGACGATCAGCATTATTAGAAACCGCGGGCAGGGCATTTACATCACGTGTGTTCATGTGAGGCTCGGCACACAGCGGTTCAGCGGACGGCGCTGCATTTAAATGTAATAAGTCTGCTGGCCAATGTCCGAGCTCTCGGAAGGCGCTGACTGCCCGATCTAGCTCCGACGCAAGGGGCAAGCCTGCATACACCTGCAAAAGGAGATCTTGTAAAAGGTTTGGAATGTGTCCTTTTGCATCCACAACAGCTGGGACTATACATCGAACCCCTAACCTAGAACCTGGCGGGTGCTGCGAAACGAGCCGACGGATGTCAGCAACTGCACTGCTTCGGCCTGATTATTCCTGTTCGAGATACTAATGAGTTCTGCATATGCTTGGGCAAAATGCCCGGCATCATGCAGTTCACGAGCTAGCCTTTGACTAAGCAATTCAAACCAGGGAATCGCCATACACCAACCTCGAGCTGCGTCAAGATGCAAGAGGCCTGATGCTTGCAGGAGTAACGGGCAGTAAATGAAGGAATTTGTTTCTTCACTGTTTGATGCCGGCGGCATTGCGGAAAACAGATTACTCTGATGGTTCATGGTGGCGGTTGTATCGCTGCAACCAGCGACAGATGTTACCGGCAGAGGGAAATTATGGGTACACCCTGGCAGGCACACCCAATTTGTGGACCCATGCGCTAAATCTATCACTAAAATGCGGTGTCCGTCGGAAGCATCTCGGCTCTACGCTTTGCTGCCCGCTAGTTCAGGGTGGCTGGGGTTCTGTGGTTTGTCTGTTTGTTTGGGGGGTGCCTCCTTGGCCGGGCTTGGTTAAGGGACCGCATGCCATGGCAAGTGCCATGGATTTGGAACTCGTTGCTCTGCATCCCACGGCAATGGAGCATGCAAGAGGACGCATTACATAGACATGTTTACTACACTTCTTTGGGAATGCTGCTACAGGTATGGAGGACAAGGCTTCAGCTGTCCCAGGGTTCCAGACAAAGCATGTATGATGCCTTTGCAATTGCATGGTGTCCAATGTCGGCCTACTGCATATGGCTCGCAGTTTGGGAACTACTGCCGGGACCTGAGCGGATACAACTATATGTGGAAGTGTCTTTGGTATATCCTGAGTTTGCGCTGGACATGCTGGGTTCTGTTTATGCATATAGCTGCAGGGGATCCTTGGAGTCAATGGACTGATTTGATGTATGTTTTGCAACGCTGGCTGCGAGGGGCCTACCGATTGCAGCTCCGCAAGCCGACATGGCCAACCCTGCTCACGGTGACCCTGGCTCAACTTTGCGCATACATCTTGCTTCTTTTCAGTTCCGAGCTGTTACGGGTAACAGGGCTGCCTTCATGTCTGCAGCTTTTCTGGCAATTCTGGAGCTTACGGAAATTCGACGTGAGTGAGCCAGCAGCATGGATGGCAAGGAAGGCGCCGCGGAGGAGGAGGACAAGGCGGAACCTCCGGCTGAGGATGGAAGCGCATCCGCCTACATGGCTGAGAGGAGACCCCGACCCACAGTGGCGCCGCCGGAGCCGTACAGCTACAGTCGAAGATATAACTTGGAACAGCCGGTTGTGTGTTTAAGATGGGGTTTGTGTTCCAAGAGGGGATGCTCTCCCGAACCATTCGACATTATTCAGAAACGATTTCGATGTTTTCCGAAACCATTATTCGATCTGTATTGTTCTGCTGCCAGGTTAGACTTGTGCATGCTGTGAGATCGGATCAGTCGGTTGGCCCTTGTCGAACGTGCTCCTGTGAACCTCGCAGGGATCACAGAGCTTGAGCCGCAGATGTTGTGGTCCCTCGAACACATTCATTGGTTCATTGATCTGAGATTTCCGGCTTGGCATGATTGGAGATCACTGAACCCACGCCTTGGAACAATTCTGATCACTGCTGCAACATGCAGCACTCGTCAGATGAGAGCCATGGGATCCTTGGCGTCGTCGCTAGCTTCGCGAGACAGTCGCAGGACCGCAGATGGCACAAGTGTTGTCAACTGCACCTATATTTTACTTGGTAGCCACAGGCAGTTCGCATCCTGCTGGTCGTTGACGTTCACAGATTGCTCTGAAACCGGTCAGTCGCGCAAGCTATGGTTGTGTGACTTTTCGCTTCGCGCAGGGTCCAATGGAAGAAACCGTGCCAGAAGTGCCGAGCGAGGACCGTGCATGTCAGAAACTTGCAGGTCGATAGGATAGTAGTTCCAAAGAGCACGCTGGCACTGACCTTGCTGTGAGAACTCATGAGTACTACCGCCTGCGGCAGGACTCTGGTGATTCTGCGTCTGTCGAGCAGGAGAGCGAGGGCGAGGGTTCACTTTTGACGTCTCGGGTTTCGCAGTATAGTCCGGAATCTGCAGTTGGGAGTGCGGATGAAGCAGAGCCAGCAGAGCTCACGATGTTCAAGAGCGCAGAGTTGTACCTGAGAGCGTCTGGCCTGGACAAGCATCAGTTTGTGGCCCCATATGGCAGAGATAAGACCTCGAGCTGCGCTTGAGAATGTCGGGGCTTTAGTGTTGAGTTGAAGGGTTGGTTTAAGGGTGGGAGGGGACTTGACTAGCAGATAGAGGCTAGAGGCTGTAGAGCGCTAAGGAGGAATTGCGTCTTCCGACCGTTAGTAAGTAGGGATCCCGTGTTCCAAGCAACCTTCTCGGGACTCGGGGCCCTACTGCCTTCCTCCCAAGAAACTTCGTCCGAGCCGGATGCGCCCGAATAGCGCCCTAAACTTCAACATTCAGTCAGTCATGTTCAGTCCTAGACGGCCGACAGCGTCTCAGGTACATCATTGCATCCGATTGTACTGGCGCCGGCACATTGAACTATTGTATGCCCCAGCCTTGAGTGGTTGCCGTGGGCATGCGGCATGTGCGTCATTCGAGTCATGACTCGTAGAGAGGGCCACGGCACTCAGGGTTTCAAGTATTCACATGTCACATTTCCTACAAAGTGATCAGGTGAGATAGTCAGTCTCCAACCTTTTCTCTGCTACGTCTCGTCAGGTCAGGCCTGTGCCAAGTCTTGGGCGCAGACTTTCGGGAGGTCGGTGCCTCCGAATCTTCGAAGGCAGCACGGAAGTTCTTGCAATGTCATTACGAGTGCCATCCGGCTGAAATTTAGCTGCTGCAAAGTGCCAGTGGCAGAGTCGGCAGAGTGCGAAGTGTAGGCAAGACAGGTTAGACAAAGCGTAGGCAGCTGGCAGCTTTGATGAATAACTAACAGTAAATAACAGTGACAACGGCGCAGTCGGACATGGAAACGAGTTGAGCGTAATCGCTGGCTTATTGTAGCGAGTATCGGCAAAAGTTCGTTGAAGCTTGCCGGCGGCTCAGGCGAGCACTTGTTCGTCGACTGCTATGGCAACCACGGCAGTGGCCACTGCGTTGTTCATAATGCTGTTTGTGACCCGGTGGATTTGGCAGGACATACCGAGGATTGCCGAAGCGTTTGACTGTGTGTGTGCGCGCATGTTTTTGTGCTCTTGCTAAGTCCAGCGATATTCAAACTGCAGCACCTAAACCCTAAACCCTAAACCCTAAACCCTAAACCCTAAACCCTAAACCCTACAGTAGGAGTAAGAGTTGAAACTTTGTGAGGGGTTCCCGGAGGTAGGCAGAGCGTGTGAGTGGCATCTGCATATAACTAACTGCTCCACAGGACCTGTATGCGGCGGGTCCGCCCTGCACCCCGTTTTCTTCATTGAGTTCGAAACGGTGGTCGGAGCAGTACGACCCGTTCCAGTCAGATGACCGTAGCCGCCCCGTCATCGAGATGTGCAGACACATCAGGGACCGGACCCCGAAGACCTTTGTTTTAGAGCAGGTGGGCCTGTTTCGGTTTGCGTGAGGCTTGATTACGTTGGCTGCTTGCACTGCCCCACCCCCCCGCACCCCGGCCAATCTCATCCCTTTCCTGTGCTTGTGCCCCAAGAACGTGGGACCCTTCGCTGGCATTTTGATTTTTGGGGGATTACAAGACACGTCACAAACAACCCTCCAATCCCGCACATGGGCTCGTCGGTTGGTTGGTTGTTTGCCCTGTCCTTAGCCAGAAAAGCAAGAATGCAGTTGACCCTACCGTTTGCGGGAGGTTCCCACATTCATCGCCCCGTGGCCGCGGCAGTGCCAGGGAGCCTTTTTCGACATGTACAAGGCCGGGGTGGGAGCGGGAACGTCAGTCTGAAACTTCCATGCAGCCATGCGGCCAGCTCCGAGACAAACATTGTGTGTGCGAAGTCTGGATTCGCAGGCTGTTGTGTAGCGTGGGCCAGTACAAGGCAGACAGCAGACAAGCAGTCAAACAGCACAACATCCAACACCTGACATATGTGTTTGTAGGTTGGTCCTTGGGTCGTCTCGTCATCGTCGGCGGATGGGGACAGCCTTGCGACTGGCTCTGCTCTGCTTCATGCCATTATCTGATCTGTGGTCAAGCGCAAGAGCCGTACAAGTCGAGTCGTCAGAGCCGAGTAGCAGTGAGGAGCAGGCCAGCCGATCTGGCAGCAGTGAACAGTCGGCCGGATCAAGCAGCAGGCTGATGCGGCTGAACTTCTCAAGCTGAGACGACAGCAACAGACATCAAAAGCACGAGTGAGCTCACTGCTGAGCCGTCAGCGGAAGAAGATGCGTGAGGAATTTCTGGAAAACGATGGGAATAATAATCAGACTGCAGATTTCCAACATACATACTTTTCTACCAAGCTAGCTTCTCGCACATTGTGGTGGAACCCAGGCGAAGTTGTGCAGCAGTGCGAGTGGACAGACAAGAATAGGCGGCGTGCCGTGTGGCTCTACTTCTCCAGCCTTGTGTCTGCTGTGAAAAAATTGTTTCTTGGCGATGTTGCTGATGGGAATGGCCAGGGGGAGTCAGCAGCAGATGCCGAAAGCATCCCTACAATTCCATTCGTCCTGTCACTGAATATCTTGGATGATACTAACATCAAATTGGGAGATGGTTTGCGTGGCTCCTCGGATGTCCGCAGCGTAATGTGCAATATTCAGCACCACATCCTTTTCAAGGATGTTTCAGATGGCTTATCAAACGACTCCGTACCGACATGGTTTCTACTGCACCAGCCTCTAGTCGCATTGCCACGTGCCAACGCAGAATCCATTTACGGAGAGTTTCGGGCCTGGCTTCTCAGTTTTTGTGGGTCTGCGGGCCAACGATTGCAGAAGTGGGGCATCGTTCGGGACCTTTTCAGATTCGTGAAGAGTCATGTGCTGATATTTATTTCGGATGCCCTCAAGGCGAACGACTCACTTGTTCGTGTTCTTGCCCATGAAAGCATTGAAAACAGCAAGCAAATATGCGACGACCAACCTGCCTCGACCATGCTGATCCACGTGCACTGTCTGGTGCACCAGGCTGCTTTAACAAGGCGAACACTGGCCCTAGGGGTGCCAGGCTTTTGGAGCAACTTGGTGCGACTGGGGCATTTATTCGAGTCGCACAACTTTCGTCAGCGGTTCCACGCAGCGATGGCAAAAGTGATTTGTGACAATGACAATTTTCAGTTCGTGGAAGTGTCGGAGCTTCCTGCGGAAGCTAGGGTGTGGAAGCAGATGACAATAAATCATTTGCGGCTGCATTCGGATCATGGTCACACTGGGCGAGTCAAGGCCGGGAAGGTTTCGAGGCATCTCAAGTCCATCCACCGCCATATGCTCAAGGATAACGGCAACCCTCGCAGTGAGACCATAACTCACTACTGCATCGGCCCCTCTTGCTGCGCCAACAAAGACCAAGCAAAGATGAGTTTGCTGGCGTCTTTTGGAGAGATGTTTGCATATATGACCGTACCTTTGTTGTACAGATGGAAGCACTGCACGGAGGCCTGCAACTTCGTTCGTGAAGGCTGCTTTTTTCATAGAATCCTTCCCCGGACTTTGGAAGCCATGCCGAACATGCAAGGTGTCCCGTCTGCAAGGACTAGTGGCTTAATCGAGCCACATTGCTTGGGCCACTTGTCCAAACTAAGGTCAATCCGACAAGATACTGGAGGCAATCGAGGCATTGCGACAGGCGGCAGAGACTGAGGCTGACACGACAGAGTTGAGCCGCACGGTTGAGGAGCTTTTGGATCGGGACACATCCTTCGCAGAGGCAAATGCAAAGCGACAAAGATTGGTGACAGAAGCTTTCCAAAAGGAGGATTTGGAGACCACGGTTTGCATTGTAGACTTTCTATTGCAGCCTTTAGACGCCATCACGAACAAAATGCTCAGGAGAACCACTATTCTAAAGAAGTTGCGATACCGGGACATTCAGCCTGGCGAAAATCTGCGGGATCTGAAGGAAGCGTCCAAGACTATTTTTTTGGCTTGGACATCTGGAGATCTGGGTATCCAGACGCTCCGGGCATTTCTTCGCAACATGCGAGATGAAGATCTGACGACGTACTGCCGCAACTTTTCTGGTGCTGCGCACCCAGACTGTGACATGACCAAGACATGTTTTCAGCTCACGGTGTTTGGGCTGACCGACACATGGAGGCGCTTCTGCCTGCCAGTCACATGCTTTCCGTGGAGCTTGTTCCAGCTGCTGACGAAGAAGGAGGCGGAGTTCTGCGTGCTGTGGGACGAGAGTTTCAAAATTCTTCGGAAGTGCCCTCAATGTGTAGACGGGGCATTCTCCAGCCTGCTCTTGTCTGCCAACTTCGAAAATCTGCAAAGCCTCGACCCGGTTGACAGGGCGGCCTTTATTGACGAAGTCAAGAACAAGTTGCTTGCCATTGCAGCGTTTTGCCCGCTTGCTTCAGACACAGTGGAGAACTTGCACGGGCAGAACCAGTTCAACCTGCATTCATGGCGGGGCAAAGCCAAAGCCACACCAGCTGCAGCAGAGACCTCGGTCCTGAAAACATTGGCTTCGGAACATGCTTACGGTAAGTCTCTGGTACATGATCTTGTCATGCCATCAAAGACAAGAGTTGCCCAGATGATGCGGAGGATTGGCGCCGGCCACAAACGTGCTGGTTGGCGCAGCTTGAACCACAAGCAAAGACTTCGTAAAGCAGCGTCTGCAAAACCCAGAAAGCTGAGCGCCTGGAATGTGTTTTTCCGGAAGAATCTGAAACAGTGCCAGAAGAAGTTGCCTAAGGATGAGTTCAGGCGTCGCTCTCGGCAGTGGGGCAGGCAGTGGAGACAAATGTCTTCCCAAGAGCAGCAGAGTTTCAAAATCGATTCACAATATGAACAGTCTTGCCGTGAGGAACTGGCAACGCGTGGGTTGCGTGCTGGAGATAGATTCGACCTTGCATCGGATGGCGCGGCGCGGGAAGGTGGTATTCATCTGCCGCCAGACGCCTTGTCAGCGGAGCAGCTGGAACTCGTCGCAGGTACGGCAAAACTGGTTTTTTCCTGACACTGACACTGTTAGATTCTAGGAAATGCAATGTCGGTTTTTCATCTATGTCTAGGTCTTTGTCCATGTCGAAGTCTACGACTCAACTTCTGACTCTGTGTGCGTGTGTGCACGTGTCAGTTTATACCGTCTATGTCCATACCATTCCTATAATAGATTCCCGAACGAATGAGTATCAACATATCGTATGTAATATGTAACAATATGTATGTCTAGTCTGAGCGGGGTTCTGTGATGTAAGCAGCGGCTGGTGGTGCCGATTACAAGGGTTTTTGCAGCTACGAGAACTATCTGGTATCTAGTGGTTAGCAGGATTTGAGGATTTGGCCTAATTCGAGTCTTCAACCTTCGTGATTGTAGGGTTCTTCAGAATCACAATAACTGCGCCTGCCTGCTATTAACAAGACAAAACACCCAACTATAACGACTATAACTATAACAGGTTTCTGAGTCTGTGCAATTACTCCCAGGCCATCGCTTCCGCAAGCGTGTGTCAGCAAAACGACTGATGCAAAGCAACGACGACCAGGCAGAGCACAGCTTTTGGAATTTCTACGGGTTGGGGCTGCAAGACAAGGATGGAGCAATAGCTCGGGGCCGCATTGAGTTCGAGACACCCCAGGCGACTATTGACAATGCTGTGAATGCTTCCTTGCATGCGAGTTTGGAGCAAGAAGATCCAGTGGCCACAGGGTCCGATGTCACTGCTCCGAGGTGCAAAAGTCTTTATGGTTACTGTGCTACGTGTGAAGCTTTCCATCCCAATGCAATGAAACTGGCACGTGCATTTGCAAAACTCTGCACGGATCGATGCCTTTCTGCGGGAAGCTTGGTGAAGCTGCGACCAGTGTTTCCCAGCATTGTTTCCGAAGGTTCGCCTGAAAGTTCGGAGAGCCTGGAGAGTTATTTCTTTCTGGGGGTTCATTGCCGCAGGCCATTGCAGCAGGTTCTTGTGAAAGCCTGGCCCAGCGGACAAGGCCAGGAACCAGGGAATTTTGACAAGTTCTCTTTGACCCAGCTTCGCGCGGGAGCCTCTGAAGATGCTTTGCAGGCTTTGCCTTCGTTTTCGACGTCGTATGAAGTGTTTCGATTGCTTGCAGCGCAGTCCAATGGCAAGTTGGAGACAGTGGCAGTCGATGTTCTTGAATATATCCTGGAGGCTGGGTTGTGGAGCATCGAGCGACTGGAAGTGACTGTCACAGGCAGCTCCGGCAGCATGAGCTTGCAGACTTCGGTGACACCAGCGGCCAAGCAGAAAGTTGAGCTGCCATTTGGCTTGCAGCATACCAAGAGGAAGAGGAAAGCAAGGAGGCCTCCAGTTTCGCGTAGAGCCAGGGCTGAGGCCAGGGGTCGCGGTCGACGGCACGGTGGCAGAGGCAGACGTCAGGTAGCTTCCTCTTCGAGTTCTAGTTCTTCATCATCATCTGAACCAGCTGACAAATCAGATCGCTCTCGGGATGATTCTGCTCTTTGTTCTGACTCCGACGAAGACAGAAGGCCGCCCATTGACAAGGAAGCAGAAGCAATTGCCATGCCGAATGCTGCAGCTGTAGACGAAGCTGCTGTTTTGAGGGAAGCTGAGTCTGAACTCCATGTGGATCATTTGAAACGGCAGCAGCTCGCTGAAGCTCATGCTCGTGGAGGATCGTACTTCGTGCGAGAAATTGGCTTTGATGAGGGTTCGGTAGCACCTACGTCCAGGAGTGTTTGTTACCACTGCGGTCAAAAGATTGCGAAAGGTTCCAGCCGATTTTCATATTTCTGGAACGAAAGAAGGCCATCCCGGTACATGCATGCAACATGTGTGGCGCATTTTCTTGATGCAGATCCCGATGCCGCCGATGCTAGAAAATTTCAAGCTGTGGAAGCAATGAGCCGCATTGCACAAAGTGCCAATGTGGACCAGCAGGTCATTTGTGCTGCGCAGCATCTCAGGTCTGTCCTGAGGTCCGAAGCTGCCTCGTCAGCTGTTCGCTAGCCAGTGAATGCTGCGTGCTGCTAGGAAGCAGTAGGCCGTAGGCCAGCCGATAAAGGTCAGTGCACCCTGTTGCAAAGGCTCCAGATCCGGACAGCGTTCTAAGTGGCATGCATCGCCCTGCATCGCTCTGAAGGTAGTGCGGTAGTACTACAAGTAGTATCAGTATAAGTAGTATAGAATAAGCAAATTTTAACAAATCGTAGGACCATGGACCGTAACTCACAAAGTTCAGGGCGTTTTCCGGCTGGTTGTAAAATGTTGTAAAAAAAATGGTCCCCGTTATATAGGGATCTGCCAGATCCTTACTAAACGGGGACCATTTTTTTTGGGACTACACAGGAGCCCAACGATTTCACGAACTTCACGGAGCTCAGCCCCATAAACACTACAGCCCCCGAGCTTCTATAACTCTATAACTATGAAAATACTATGACTATGACTTGACTATGACCATAACTATGACTATAACTGTAACTATAGACTATGGCTTTTTTTTTTATAACACTTGCTTTAGCATAACTTAACCGATGTCCTTGGTTTGATAATGATTGTGTGAGGTGTGTGCGGAAGCATCGCACAAGTTTTCCATGCTCAATGTGACATTGTGTGTATGTGTGTCATATCATTCATATTATGTTTTATCTATTTGTGTACTAATAATACCTTCGGTATAACTAACGCAATCTGTGTCGAGTGCAACGTCATGCGATATATTTTGCAATGTGGGAGGCCCCAGAGTCACTTAAGAGTAGCTATACCTGCCAGTCAGTATCAGTGGTATCTTTATTGATAACAATGATCATGATAACAATGATAACTTGTAACATTGTTAACGTAAAGTGAGCTTACAATTCCTTACTGATTTTTGATGTCATTTCTGCGGCAACAGCAGCTGAAACTGTGTGCCACGGTGCTGGGCTCCAAAGGTGGCCAGCACAAGTGCGGAGTTCAAAGAGTCCAGTGGAGAGAACAATCAAGAAAGTGCCTCTGTGATGCCATGTGTCGTATGTCACATTCTCTGACCAAAAGTCTTGGGTTTGTGTGAACCATAATTATCTTCCTGTGCAGACTCCCTTCGACTACTTCCTCACCGGGGAGCTTCACGATGATGATTCCGACACTGCTGAGATCTTTGGCGTGAACAGGATCCCCACTCGGTACCATGTCGGGCACATGCTGGTCAGGACGGGTGTTTTCGTTTAGCTCCATATGCTGCTTATATTCTGCGTTTCTGCAGTGAGTGTCAGTGTGTGTGTGTGTGCATGTGTAGGGGTATGGTCTGGTATGTATGGGTGCCAACACCAGGCCATTATCCGATTGATGCTTTGGCCAGGAGCAGGGACTTCGGCAGCCCGCAGTGTCGACTGCGACTTTATGTGATTGGGGCACAAGAATCAATGATTGATTGGAGCAGCTTTCAGAGCATGATGCAGTTTTTCGGAGATTTCCTATCATCAGTGCATAGCCCGAGTACCATCTCACAAGTTGTGGACTGGGTCCGTGATCAATTGGGTTCTCCTCCGACTGTTGTGGTGGGCAGCATGCAGCAGGACCTGGGTTGCTTGATTTTCTCCGCTCCTGTGTGTCTGAACACGCGGTTTTCCAGAGGCAGACCTGTTCGCGCGTGGTGGGTCGCACGTGGGGTCCTCATGGGTCCCGAAGGCCCTGAACATATAGTTCCGGAACCTTTTTGGGGGTTGGAGTGCTTGCAGAAACGGTCCGAAACGGTTCTAAACGGTTTCAGAACTTGCCGGTGGTTGCAATTAGAGCACGCCAACCCTTCCGGGATTTTTCCTTGGTGTTCAAAAGCCTGGCCCCTGGAGGAGAAGCGACCCAGGCAGCTCTCGGAGAAGTCCGCGAGAGAGTTGGCGAAGTGGCAGGAGGAGCTTGGTGTGCGGCCAGGCCTGGCAGCTCACAATTTGTGCCATGTCATGTCATGTCCACAAAAGCAGAGTGTGAGGCATTCGAAATATTAGAACCCTGAGGAGATGAGCCTTACACCGGAGAGTTGCCAGCCACTGCTGTGAGCTCCCTGACTATGCGGGAGAAGATGGTGCTGAACCTGATGTGGATGAAGATACAGGTGCCTGGGTAGGTAGTAAGTATATAGCAGGGTACAGCGGGCGGTGAGCGCAGTCGTGGATGGAGCCAGAATTCGTAGCGGCTAGTCAAGTCTGGCTAGATTGGGCTAGCGGTATAGCCTACGGTATAGCCTATAGCTTATAGCCATAGCAAAACGGTATATAATGTACACGAATCTATGATTCTATGACTATGTAACTATGTAACTTTTGGTTTATATGATTAACAACAATCAGTGAAGGTGCACAATGTGTAGGCAAAAGAGGTTATGTGGGTCTGTGATGAAGCTTGAATGCAGCCACAAGGCCCAGACTCAAACAGTCAAAAACCGTTCAAACCGTTCTGGACTGTTATGGACCAGCTGTGGATGAAAAACCGGTCATGTTCTGAAACTGTTTAAAACCGTTTAAAACCGTTTGTTCAGTTTCTGGCAAACCAAGCAAAACCAGAACAGTCTGAAACCGTCCGGACCGCTCCTGACTGTTTGTAAGCTGATTCCAGAGTACAGTACGAAACCGTCCGAACCGTTTTGTGCTCTTCCAGAATGCCACTTTATGTCACATAATTTATCACATAATTCCGTAATTCGCATAACAGTATATATATATATATATATACGTATGTATTTTTATGGTATACGGTATATGTATATATCTATATAGCCTATATATATATATACGAATATAAATTGTATCCTCGTATCATACCGCATCACACTGAATCTTACCATGGTCAAATTTGGTAACATCGACTGCCGTATCATTTGTTGTGACATACGTATACAGTATACCAGTGGAATCGGAAGCATACCTTATACAGTTATACACGTACACTTACACACACACACACACAGTACACATCATAAAAGGATGGAGCTTGTCTGCGTCTGTAGGTGGTTGCCAACAGCACAGGCATGAGTGGCATGGGCCGTGATTCATGGCCTATTCTTTGCTGCTTCTGCAGGCCAGACGTGGGCAACCGAAGGAGCAAAGATATGTTTTGGACCTGGCCAGCAGGGCCCCAAGAGGTGGAGTTCCGATTACCGAATACACGTGAACTGTCGTGGTGCTTTCAAGCACAATCCGTGTGAAACTGTTTCACGCAGTGCTGCTGACCGTCTGCGGTGCATGTAGTCAATACAGTCTATACAGTGTTTTGCCAAGGAAGTTTGGCAAGGGAGGCAGTGTCCCGATTTGGGAAATGTGGCTCGGTGACAACACGAAACAAATTCTGGAGCTTTGAGCACGACCGCCTTCTTTGTGGGGAGGACATAGCTGCGCGAGCAACTTTATGGTGACATGCATTGCTGTGCTGCATAGCTGCGTAGCCGAGTCAGAATCAGTTAAAAACAGCCCGGCTTGATGTTGGTATTTGTGGTGCCTGCAGGAATTGTTCGCGCTGCAGGGCTTGGATCCTGCCCGTTTCCAGTTCCATGCTGGTGATTATTCAGCGATGAACAAGCTGGCAGGACGGGCCTCGTGATAGGATGTGACACAGGTTGGGACGGTTCAAGCGTTCATCTTGAGGCAGGTTTCTCCCTTCGGACAAGTTACCAATGGTGTTGTCATGGACATCGATCACATAGTCTTGGGTCTCAGACTTCTTGGCAAAAAAGGCTTCTTTTCAACCCCCCCCTTCTGGCTGCCCAAGGGGGGGGTTGAAACTGTGGGAGATCTGCGTAAATTCTTGCCCGAAGGAAATGCCATGACGGCCAGTGTTATGACGGCAGCTCTGTTCTCCTTGATGGCGTGGGCCCTGCCTGCTGGCCAGGGCCAACCGCTATTGCAGGCGCTTGCTCCGGAGCACCTCGAGCCGAGCTGCACTGGTGGCGTCTTCAGTGGCGACTCTAGTAGTGATGAGAACGAATCTGAAAGCGGCTCTTTCTGGTCTCGGTCCCGATCCAGAAACCAATCGGGAGCTTCTGCCACGAGCTCGCGGAGCCCTTCTGGCTCTGGATTCTGAGATTTCCGACTGACTTCTGAGTTCTGAGCTTGAAGCTTTACGGAAGCTCGCATTCGGCGAGGTTTGCGTGGGTTGCAGGCAGGGATGTTTCGGTGACCAGTGCTCCAGCAGAGATCATGTTACATGTTTGATTACTGTAAATTACTTTGGTTTATAAATAAGCTGCAGCCTGCAGCCCGCTACAGCCCTGCAAGCATGCACACACATAGACACACTCTTGCTACTCGTGCCCTAGAAGTTGTCGTCTGCAACAGTCTGCACTACTTATACAGCTTATTATACATACTGTACTTATACTGTATACTGTATACTGACTTATACTTATACTGATACTGATACTTACATTTACACTGCAATGCAATGCAAGTAATTCATGTATGTAGTCATAGTCATATGTTCGTGTCCACGGGCAGCCGGCGAGATGCCCTGGGTGTGGTGCGGGCAGCGCACGGCCCTATGGCCGCAGAAGTTCATTGCTGACACGCTTGCGGCAGAGTGAAACCTAGAGCTCAGAAGAGTTTTTGTGCTCCGATCCAGTCTGCTGGTGTGCATTTGGGTTGTTGCGCTGGCAGAGTTGCAGAACCATAGTGTCAGATTCGACTCATGATATGATATCATTTTGATGCGTTTTTCAGCATGTTGGATGCGTTGCCGCATTGACGGCATCATGCCGAAAGTGCTGACAGCTCGAGGCTCACTCCTGAGCCATCGTGTGTTGACGAAGCGACAGTTTGAACCTTGCCTTGCACAGTGTCCTGCCAGCGTCCGGGCCATTGCTTGCGGCGGTCATGGACCTCGCCAGTGCAGGGGCACCAGGTGCAGCCGGAGCAGCAGCGCTGCTCCTCGTTCTCACTTGCTTGGCTTGCAAGCAGAAGGAGAATGAGGTCGATCGAGTCATGGGCTGAGCTGACCGGAGCGTCGCAACTGTCAACTGTTGACTGTTGTCTTCTGTTTCTTTGGTGCGGCTGGGTTGAGTGCAGCTGAAAGGACAACCCGGAGGGCTCCAGCGCTTTGGTGGAGTTCCTCAAGCCCGGAGATTGCCTTTGCAAACGGTGCTTTTACCTCAAGCGAGGAAGCCTACAGAATATGCGAATCAGCGAACTGGTTACACACCTCGACGGCAACCCCGATTTCCGCGACAAGCCTCCAGGTTTGATTCATTCAAGCTCAGTGTTAAAGATTTGATTTGTTTTCGTTTTCAGACTCATTCCAACTCACACGGGCGACTACTCAAACTTGTCTGAATCTTTAAGTCCTACCTTGCCAATGCAAGGTACGACCGAATGCGCAAAACATTTTGCGAGTTCCAGATCCAACACCCGGCTCGGAAGTATCGGCACGAGAAACCCGACATAAAAGTCTTGCTTGAAAAGAAGGAGGAGACTTACGTAGACGTCAGCAAAGCCACTCGGACCAGCTTGCCTTCGATGTAGCAGGACATGAAACAGTGAAACATGTGCGGTGCCCGTTGTCGCATCATGTCATCATATGCGATTCGTGTCGCAGAGCTGAGACGACGATGACGATGACGATGACGACGACGACGAGGACGGCGACGACGATGACTGTGACCGTTGGCGACGATGGTAACGACAACGACGACGAAGCAGACCGCTCATCGTTGACTTGCCTACTCAGGCAATGACATGGAGATCAGTCAAAAAGTTCTGCCAAGACGAATACCCAGGGATGGTATTCCGAAACGACGCGGCCCGGAAGGCGTTCGTCATCAGGCAGGGCCTACGACTCCAGGCAGACGATGCTGGTGTCGAAGGCGTCGTGACGGCCAAGGACTCGGACGATGTTAAGGAGCTGAAGGTCGGCAAGCGGATCGCAGCATCGAAAATCAGAGCCCAGCACTTGGAGGATGCTGCAGACATGTCGAGGGAGCAGATCAACCAGATGCATGCCAAGAACGCTGCGCAGCTTGCTGTGGAAGTGAATGATGAGGCCGGATTGCAGTGTCACCGTTGACACCCTTGGCCCTTGACCAGTGATCACATGCTTGAGTTTCAATCCTACTGAAGTCTCGGTATCGCCATCGTATCGATGATCAATGATTGATATGATTATAGGTAGTTGTCAGTTGCTGCTGATGGACCGACTGATGGTCGCATGATACGATATGATATGTGCGGAAGCGATAGCATCTGTTGCTGCAGGACGAAGTTGCGGCGACCAAGGCGGGCCAGAGCATGGATGATGATCCCTCGCAGAAAGGCGAGCGACAAGGCGAGGACGATGATGAGAGCAGCTCCTCCCAGTTTGGCTTTGCTGCCCCCAAAGCTCGAGTGCGGAGCAAAACCAAGCCGAGCAAGCCAAGCTCTGATATTGGTTTGAAGGCTTCGAAGAAGCTGCCAGCCGGATCGCCGCTCAAGCCCAAGCCGACGCTTGCTGCGCCAGCAGCCATGCCAGCTGAGCTGGGTAACCTCAAAAAAGCGGTGCAGGCTGTCAAAGCCCTTGATCCAAGCTTGATCTGGAAGGGTGCTGTGAAGGATGCCGAGATCAAGGCACGGTTCAAGAAAGCGGCCGATCTTTCCTCTGCCTTGGAAAAGGAGGCAGTGTCGCTGGAAGAAGGTTCCGAGACGGCCCAGGTAGTCCGGACAGCCCTCAACGAGGCCACAGAAGTCACCAACAGTGCCCAGATTGTGCTTGAAGTTCTGGGCAAGCTGCGGGGCAACAGGCAGGTCCTGCCTCTTTTGCAGGATGCAGAATTTGCCGCTGAGCTCACGAAGGCTTTGCAAGCCCCGGCCATGGATGCAGACACCCTGGCAGCTATCCTCAGCTACCTGGGCTCAAAGGTTGCAGCAGAGGCGGGATTTGGTTGTGCATGTTCTTTGGCGTTCGCCAGGGTCTCACAGTCTCACTTGTCCGCTGTCGAGGCACCACCGCAAAAATGGCTTCTTACTACCGCTTGCATCTGTTTGATTTGTTCTTCATTCTCGTAACTTTCAAGCCGTTGACTGTTGGCTAGTGGCTTCTTGGCTTGTTGGGGACGCTGTTAAGAAAATCCGCAACGACTCCTGGCTGACCTGGCTGTGTGTTTCCGTTTCCCTCCTGTTCAGGGCGGGCCTCGCTGGCTTCTTCGGATGGTCAGTGTCGGCGACCCGACACATGTGCAGAGGCCGGAAAAGGCTGAGGACTCTGAGGAGTTCAAGACAATCTGGAGTTTCCATGAAATCTTCGATGTGGCCGACAGAGTCGACCAGATGTTGCTCCGGGCCCAGAGCAGTGCCACGTATGCTTGGATTGAGAACATCAAGACTATGGAGCAGCTGGACGAGGCCATCGTGCATTTTCCTCCGCCCGTTGGTTTGGTGCAATGCCCTGACGTCTTGAGGCGGGGACACTGGATGAAAGCCTTGTAGTCGACCATAGCCTGCCTGTCGTCTATCGGTCTACCGCCGCGGTTCGTTGCGTAGAGCAGACATGTGTCCGTTTTAGTTTTCGGTGTGCTTGTCCTGTAGCATGCAGGGCCGGCGTAAAGCCCGGTGCACCGAGCCTGGAGGGATTGCAGCCGGACTTTGGCAACACGGCTGGGCTCAACATCCAGGTTTTCACAGATTGGCAACGGCTGCTGAGTGCAATCTACATCCGTGATTATGAGAAGCAGGGCTCTGCTTTGCCGAACGGGGTGAAAGTTTTCATGAAGGAGGTGGTCTCAGCATCTTCGTACAGCTCACGTCTAGCTGTCTTGATGCGGCAAACACCGTGGAAGCCACTCGCGCGTCGAATGCTGGACTTTACTTCTACTTCTACTGACTTCTACAGCTACCGCTACTTCTACTGTAGATCTACTGCTACTTCTACTGTTGCCGCAGTCTATCGTCTATTGGTTTGGAGTGGCTCGCGCGTCAATCAACTTTCAAGTCCTTGCGATAGTGCGGCTTAGGCGGAGTAGGAAGCCTAGGCAGCTTTGGCCCCGCGTCGTCAGCGAGGCCAAGGGAGCCCTTGAAGGCCAAACTTTGGTCTCTCAGGCAAAGCAGAGTGCTGCGGCAGTGCGAGGCTTGCTGGAGGCCTACACGGCGGCCGAGGAGAAGGGCATGCAAGATGAGGCCGTCGCAGTCGTGCACGAGAAGCGGGGTGCATGCTCATCGAACTTGCGAGGGCTTCTGTCCGACGTGAAAAGGCTGACAGAGTGCAGTGAAGGCAGCAAGGAAGCGACGGAGGCGCACGAGGAGCTCAGCGCCAGCCTGAAGTTGCTAGAAGATCTCTGTGACGGCCCTCGTGTGCAAAAGGCTGTGAGTACGGCGGAGGCAGTGATCGGAAAGTTCTGGGCAGCTGGGCAGGGGGGCCAGGCAGCTCCCATCCGCTTGGCATCCAGCCCCGTCGACGGATCTTCGTGGCTCCCGTCGGCTGAGGATGACTCTATCGCGATGTGGTTCCAAAGCCTTGCGGCTCTTTGCTTTTGAGATGCAATTCAGAATAGCGTTGAAGTGGAGTGTATTCTTCTTTTCTCAAGTCTAGTCCGCGGTAGGTAGGCTGTAGGCTGTAGGCTTATTAGAGTCCTGCCGGCTCGAGGCTCCTTCTTCAAGATCTTCGGTGGGATGACGATGCGATTCAAAGAGGCTCTATGTGTGCATGACTTCCTTCTGAGGCTGAAAGGCTTCTTCGAGGGGGTTGCAACCTCCGAGGATGAGCCGGGGCTTTTGAAGCACGCGTGCGAGTTGTACTTTGAGTTGGACAAGATGTTATCTCCGTTCAAGTCTCCGGATTCCAATGCTCAGCAGCCTGAGCCGGCTGCTGTGGGTGCAGCGGGCCGCTTGCGGGCTTCCATCGCCTCAGCTGCCAAAACTTGGATTGGCAGCTTGATGCAGACTATGTCCGTGGAAGAGGTTGTGGCCAAAGTCAATGAGACTTTGCCGGCGCAGACTGCGGAGATCAAAAGTGCCGTGGCCAGCCTGAACTTGGCCAAAGAGTTGGCCATTGGGCTTCCAAAGGTGTCGGAGGAAGCTTCCTCCGAGGTGCTGGTCGCGGCCATGCCGGTCTACATCAAAGCAAAGTCTGTGGACGAGCACCTCCTGGACCCCTCAACGGTGGAAAAGAGCCATGAGTTTTGCGTGAAGGTGGACGCCCGGCTCGAGGAAGAGGTGGAGTCCTTGATGCAATCGGTGGCCGAGCTTGACAAGTTGGCCTTCAAGTACAGGTGAGGCGTTCTCATGATCTTGTAACGTGAGTGGGGAGCTTGCGTAGCGGTGTATCCTGTGACACATCTAACATCCAGTAGTCCAGTAGTCCTGTGTGCTCGCTTGTAAAATCATGCGTGTAAACTGTAAACTATCTAATCTAATGATCTATGATCTAAGTTAGTAGTATCAGTATAAGTAGTATAGAATAAGCAAATTTTAACAACTCGTAGGACCATGGACCGTAACTCACAAAGTTCAGGGCGTTTCCCGGCTGGTTGTAAAAAAAAATGGTCCCCGTTATATAGGGATCTGCCAGATCCTTACTAAACGGGGACCATTTTTTTGGGACTACACAGGAGCCCAACGATTTCACGAACTTCACGGAGCTCAGCCCCATAAACACTACAGCCCCATGATCTAAGTAAAGTAGGTAGCCTATGCAGATGCAGTATGTAGTATGTAGCATGGTCCGTCTGGTGCGTGTATGATTGCATGTTCGCAACGGGACTCCATTATGGCTCATCCCAGTCTGTCTGAAGGCCGGTGAAGCAGCACGCGTATGCCTGGGACATGAAAGATGTCATGTGGATGTTTGACAACTCCGAAGAGGTTGATGCCGATACCAAGCTGCTGTTGCAGTTGCGAAGCGAGGTGACCGAGACTTGCAGATCGGCGGAGAAGATTGGCTCCATGTTGGAGGCAGTGCCGGCGAACGATCATGGGCAGAAGCTCCGGAAGCTGTGCGCCCAGGTCAAGGACCCTGCTCAGCATCAGCATGCGTAGGCTGCATAGGCAGGGCTCGATCCTTCAGCCAAGTTTTGAGATTCAAGAATAGTAAAGACGACCTACGACCATGCTATAATACCACGCGTCACTCGTTGTTTATCATGTCGTGCTGTTTTATCTGTTTTGACAAACCCTGGAGGAGCTGCGGGGAGACGTTGCGTTGACGATTAGCACCATGCTCGCTTGCGACGTGGTCTTGAATGCCAAGCATGCTGGGAAGCAGAAGCTCGTTTGCGCCGATGTCTTCAAGTACATGGGCTCCACCTTGGGCGTCACGAAGCGCGATCTCTCCAACGTTTCCGGCAAGCTGATGGCCCAGCTCCAACAGTTCGAAGAGCCGCAGGCGGCGAAGAAGCGCTCGATGCAACTTGCATCCATAGCCCATAGCCGTAGCCGAATGAACAAGGTCCGGTCTGTGAGTGGGAGTCTGTGTTGCAGGGCTGTCGGTTTGTAAGTGTGCGACCGTGTTTGATTCGTTTTTGTATGCCGAGGATTGAGAGTGGCGCTGGCAGCAGCCGAGATGGTGTGGATGGTGACGCCGCCATTACCATCGCCAGTGCCGACGATTCATTGGCATCGGCGGCAAAATCGGCTAAGAAAGCCAAGAAGGACAAAGGCAAGGACAAGGACGATAGCCAGAAGAAGCAAAAGCCGGCACGCCGCGACAGTACGGGTAGCAAAGGTTCCAAGAAGTCCCGCACCGAGTGAGTCAGCCGATCATTTTCCGAATGCCGGATCATGATTGCGAAGGGTCCCGAGGACGGCTGATCGCATGGCGAGGCAATGAGCTGTAATAAGTAGGTCACCAGGTAACGGTATGGATAAATAGGGTACTACTTCGCAGTGCTGGTGAAGCCACGTTGCTCTGCCTGAGGCCTCGGGGTTTTTTAAAGGACTGTCACTGTGTCTCTGAGCACCTTTCCTGTGCGAAGTGCCAAAACGACTGTGGTGCAGTTTGCAAGTGCGAAGCCAGTGTGTCTGAAGGTTGGTTCAGTAGTAATTCAAGATTCATTCATTCACACACCAAGCTCCACAAACCATTCTCAACGAGGCCGAGGCTTGTTAAGACATGATTGGCCATCTGATTGGCTGAATTGGAACGGGGTCTCAGTGTGCAGTCAGCAAGGGGTCAACGCCCCAAGTACAAAAACTTGCTCAAGGAGATTGAGGAGCAGGCAATATAGTTCCTGAGATTACAAATATAGCTTTTGAATACCATCAAATAGTCCGAGAACCCTGGGGCCCACCAACACAGAAACAAACCACCGACTGAACCAAGATATAACTGTAGAGTGTTTGGACAACGAGGCAAGCCCACCTCCAATCCGGTCTTTCATCCTAAAGGTCCACCGCCTCCGCCTGGCGTTGAAATCAACCTGGACCCAGGTGGCTCTAGTGATGTCAGCTATGAGGAGGCGGAGGGAGCGCCGACGGAGACAGCATCTGCAGCAGGTAGTATGGATGAGGAGCAGGACGACTCGAACCCTACACCCGCAGCGGTGTCTACAGCTCCCGCGGAAGTTCCTGCAGCAGCCTGTGACATACCGGAGCAGGATGACTCGAACCCTAGGCCCGGAGCGGTGCCTACAGCTCCCACGGAAGTTCCTGCAGCAGCCTGTGACATACCGGCCCACCTCTACATTTCCCTTCCACCGTGGGCAGCTGAGGAGGCAGAGGAATCCGAACGTGGTTTTGAAGACGACCCGCCAATGGAGACGAACTCTGCGGCTGCAGCCGACACAGGCGAAGACCACGGTATGGTGGAAGGAGCAGCCGGCGCTGCTGATGATAGGCGCTTTGATCTCGAGCTGGACGACCCGGACTCACGGCCGGAGCTTACTTCGGGTTCAGCAGAGGAAAGCTCGGAGGACAGCTTCCTCAACACCCTTGACTTCGGCTACACCAAAGGCACCAAAGACTAAGCCTCATTGGCTCACAAGCTCGGCTGCAGCAAAATCCGCGAGCGCCTTCCTGGGGATATTGTGCAATCTTGCACTCTGGCACAGCTGGCTGTTTGGTTCCCTTTGCCAGGTGGGCCAGGTCTCGACGGCCTGCGGTTTCCTTGGCTGCGTGCTCAGCTTGTGGTTTGGCTGCAGTCTACATGCTGGCTACAATGGAATAAAGCCATGGATTGGCTGGTATCCAACTGCAGCAGAGCCTACCCCCTCTACATGGTTCTGGCATCACAGAATGGTACGACCTTTGATCTTGGATTGGCGTAAACTGTCCCCCAGGTTGCCATCCACCACACTCTCGAACAGGAGCCGCCTGGGTCCCAAATCCCAGGGCGTCGGACGTATGCGAACCAGCATGAATTTCCTATGCATTTTCTTGTTATTTTCTCTTATGTTACCAACAGATACCGGCACAGATGCGAGGGTTGAGGCTGATTCCCACCCAGTCTCTGAAGTCCTTAGTGGCGAACATTTAGGCGGGAATACCGCAACACAATCTTCTCCGATCACAACAACTACGTCTACAGGCAGGCAGAGAGTTCGCAAGCGAGCATGTGCTAGGGCATTGCGTAGAGCTCAGCGAGCACCAGACGGCACCACCATGTACAGGGGCCGTGTTCTGCACTCACAGGCTTCAGCGGCCACACACGCTCCTAACAGGAGATCGGCTACTTCAGCAGTGCGACCTCGGCCGGCTTGTCGGTCACGCCCCAGGCTTCGTGTGCTCAGCTTGAATGTTGGTGGCATGGATGCAGTGACCTTTGATTGCTTTTTGCAATGGCTGCCTGAAGCGCAGTACGATGTTATAGCGCTGCAGGAAATACACCATGGATTGGGAAAACAATCTTCGCAATGGCATTCAGCAGGCTGGCACTTCGTTTACCAGCGTAGACGGCCATACGCGATTTCAGGGGCTGGCAACCCTGGTGCGCCAGGACCTCGTGCAGGGGGCGGAGCTCCATCAACAGGAGCTGGCTGTGGGTCGATTGCTACATGTACGGATCTCCCGAGACGAATACAACATAGATGTCCTCAACATTTACCAGCATGCTTATCAGCAGGATTCCACCGGGAACAACCTCTCCAAACGACATCAGCTGTGGAATAAACTCAACACGACCGTGCAGGGCTTGGCCAGACGTAACATGCTTGTGCTGCTTGGTGATTGCAATTGTACGCCGAAACATGTGCAAGGCTATACCGGCTACGAGCTGTCGCGAGCTGAGTTGTATGCTGATGCAGCTGAATTCTCCACGGTCTTGGAAGCCAACCAGCTGGTAGTACTCAATACCTGGTCTAGACGAAGATCACTGGATACTTTTGCTGGTGCCAAGCACAGATCTATCATTGACTTTGTCATTACCAGGCGTGGACATGCAGACCTACCTGCCCGCAGGTCACTGCCTATGCCGGGACTTACTTTTAGCCCGTGGAGAATGGGAGGAAAGCATTTCCCTGTGCAGGCCACCTTGCCCTTACACCCTGGCTGGCATCGAGCTTCGAGCAGGGCCCCCGCTACAACCAGGCCCTCCTATGACTCTCTGGCACTCACTGAGGCTGTCCGTGGCCAGACCCCCCTATATCAGGCTCTTCGGGTTGACTTCGAGCAGAGACTCCAGCAACTTCAGGCTCCCACGCTGCAACAGGTCAATGATTTGCTGCTTTTAGCCGTGTGCAAGGTTTTCCCTAAGAAATTGGACAGACCCTTGCCGCGTGCCTGGCAGACGGAGGAGGTTCGACTCTCAGTGGCGGATATGTGGAGAGCCCGTAAACGTTTACGGAGCAGGTCCTCCCTCCGAGGCTTTCGGGCTTGTTTTCAGGCCTGGCTTCGGCACCGCGATTTTCAGAAAGCGTACAAGGAGCTGAAGCGACGCGGCAGGCTGGCACGCAAAGCTATCCTGGAACAACACTTGGCGCAGGCGCGAGAAGCAGTTTCTCGTGGAGATCATGGCATGTTGCACAGGACAATCCGTGCCCTTGCTCCTAAGACTCAACGATCACAGGTCCGCATACTTCTGTGGGTCGTTTATTCTGCATATATAACACATCACATTGGCAAAGAGCTTACCTTGCCTTGGGTTCAAAGCCATCTCACCCTTTATGCAGACGACACACATGCCAGCTGGATTGTCGACACTGTTGATTCTTTACAACAGGCCCTGCATGCCATACCGGTAATCTTTCGTGTTTACCAAGCCTTTGGCATGCTTGTCAATCCCCAGAAATCAGGAGTGGTGCTTGGCATTCGGGGTGCTTTTGGGGTAGGACTTCTGGCACCGCACATACATGGCACGGCCAGCAGTAGACGATTAGTCCTGGGCCCTCCCCATCAGCAGTTAGTCATCCCCATCAAAGATAGCATGACTTATCTGGGAGTGCAGATCTCCTATGGCAATTTTGAGGATGCCACCGTGAATGCCAGACTGGCTGTTGCTCAAAGCACCCGGGGGCGACTGATCAGGGTGCTGCATGCCCGCAGGTACCTTACACTACGCAAACGCATACAACTATATGTGCTGTGTGTGCGTACAGCTGCCCTGTATGGTCTTTTACCTGTTGGAGTCACGGCGGCTGGGCTTCGTAAATTACATGCATTCGAAGTCAAACATGTGCGAGCGATTGCGCGCAGCCCTGTGCATCTTACGCGGGAAACCACTGTACAACTATATCATCGACTCAAGTTGCAACAGCCGGGCGACTACCTGGCTAAGCTCATGGCTGGGAGAATACGCGCTCTTGCTAAACGAGCTGATTCTGTAACAGAGTCGTTTCGGGTTAGATCCGAGGAGCTGCGGTTGAGCCAATTAGCAATGCAACATGGTCTCCAGGAAGCCACCGGTTTGCGTGAGGTTGCCTGCCCTACGTGTGGACAGTACTTCGCGACCCTGGCAGGGATGCGTACACATCACACCCGAATGCACGGTCGCCGCCTGCAGGCCAACACAAAGGGTTCTGTTAGTAGGCTGCATGGACTACGCGTTCAGGACCACTGTGTCAATCAAATGCCCATCTGTACTCTCACAACGTGGCACCAGTTTCGCATTCATATAGTCTCTAGCTGTGTTGTATTACACTCTGCCAGTAAGACGGAGAAGCCTGCTTTGCAGTCCGCTGCGGGGCTTCAGTCTACGGAGCTTGCTTTGCAGTCCGCTGCGGAGCTCCGAAAAGAGACTAAGGATGATTCGGAATGTGCCCCGTTCGAGCAAAACTCAGTGCAGCGGCTGCTTGCCAAGGCCGAGTGGAAAAACATTTTGCAGCTGCCTAACATGAGCACCGTTTTGCAGCATCATTGTGTTCTATGCAATCAGTGGGTCGCCAAAGCTCCCAGCTCCATGGTTCTACATGTCAAAGCTGTGCATCCGGATCTCATGCTACATTGGGGCAATGCTATGGCTCACAGTTTGACTTTACGAGAGGGGCACGCCAGGCCCTGTAAAGCTTGTGGAGCCGCGCCGCGTGGGCGACACAGATGTCGTGTGCTACATCAGTTTTGTCTCAT